TGAATGGAAATAAGACTTGCGACAAAGTCTATTTCCTATATTTGATGCATGAAATAATGTATAAGCATGTTATTGATATGAGTACATGTGTGATGTGTTGTTACATGTTATATGATATGTGTAAATGTATGTGTGTGATTATGATATCAATGATGTGATAATAAACTCTATGAATATATGAAAGGTGAAATAAGCTATCTAATATTGACCTATGTGACCATGTGTGAAAAGGTATAAAGTATGTGAACATATGCATATGAGATAAGCCATGTGAATATGTGTCTATGTGTTATGACTATGTGAAATAAGATAAATGATAATGCCCCTGTTATGTGTCATGAGAGCTAGAGGTATAGTTGGCATGCCAAGAGTCGAGAGTTCTACGTGGTCTTTCGGACATATGTGTAATCCTTGGAACATATATGCGGTACTTCGGTACACTTATTTGGTCCATTGGAATATGTATATAGTTTTTAAGTTGTGGTCCTTCGGGACATATGTGATATGGTCCTTCGGGACATAGTGGTCATTTGGGACAAATCCTACGTGCCCCTAGTGGTAATTATACGAGCTGTGGTGACAACATATGTGCACAACCTCTATGTACTCACATATCTTTAGTTCTCACATGTGTACACGGGCTCATAAAAGATATAACATGAGAACCTTGTGTAATGCTATTTGTTTGGCTTGTGGAATGTATGATATGATATGCATAAGTGTTAAGAATAAGATCATAAGACTAAAAGAATGAATGCAAATAATACTGATAATAATAATAATAGTGTGAATAATGATAATTATGGTATAAATATATGTATGTTTGCAATGGTCATATGAATTGTTATATGTTGCATAATATTAGTGTGTGAATTTTGTGCATTGTTAGATAATTAAATTTTTTCGTATTCATTTTATAGTCTCACTAAGTTATCGACTTAGCGTGTATATGTTTCACACGTAGGTTCCGAAAAGATTAAGGAGCTGAGAGGAGCAAGACATGTCAGTTTCTCCTTATCGAAGGTCAGATCAGAAAAAAAAATGGTTATGATTATGTATTTTGGTATATTGTATGTAGTTGGCATGTACTAAGAGAATTGAGTTGAATATGCTCTGATATGTTTTGTAAAACCATATGTTTTATATAATAGAAATTATTGTTTTATAATAAATGTCAAATGAATTTTAGTTACTTTGTAAAAGTAAATGCTTTGAAAAGTCAATGTGACACCTCGGACTCGGATCCGAGTTGGATGCGGGGTGGGGTGTTACACATAGACTAGGCATGATATACTTCCAATAATACTCGTAATGGCAGTAATTAACATGTATGTATTCGAGTGAAAATGATAGTTTAATCCATTAAAACATGAAAATATTCCAGGCTCAAAAATCAATAAAGAAATACATAATAGATATCATATCAAAAATATACAATAAATCAAATATTAGATAAACAATACTTAGAAAATCAGGTATTGTCTCGTAAAAATATTCATCATAAATCTAAAACAATTTACATGAATAATTTAAACAGTAATGTAACACTATCAGGAAACACACTTGTATCGGTCTGAGTAGTCTGATAGGGAAGTCTACTATTGAGTCTGTCGATCACGATTAACGGCAGTGCTAGATCCTATGAATCAGAAAATCTATATCAAAATCCTAATATGGATAATAATAATCTATATTTAAACAATTTATAATAAACCTACGAGTGACTCTCGAAGAACGCGAATCGAGTGAATCTGACGAACGAAAGTTATCGGATCTAACCGACCCTCGATTGGTAAAACACGAGTACCTTCTTAAAAATATTTTCTCGAATCAATTCATAACCAAATCTCAATAAATAAGCAAAATGCTAAAAATACTAAGCATTTTCGGATTAATGTGCTTGATTCAGGGCTTTCAAGTCATAATTTGGCAAAACGGATCAAAATCGGACTTAGGACATCGAAAAAAATCAAGATAGAGGTTTTTGAAAGAAAAAAAATCAACACTGGTTAATGCTTAACGGTCAACGGTCAACAGCTGACCGGTTCGGTTTAGGTTGGATCGGGCCAGACAGACGGGTCGGGTCGGCCCACTTTCTAGAAACCCACCAGGCGAGGAGACTTTCCCACGCGTAGTGGCGGCATGTGCGGGGCCTTCGGGGGTCGAAAAAATTGTGAAAAAAATTCCTATATGCATTGTAAGGGGTTTTGAGACACTTACCAAGCTTGGTTCACAGCGGTGAACGATAGAGAGCTCGATTTCGCAACATTAGAAAACTTGACTTTCCTCACCCCCTCACAGCCGGCGACAATGGAGACAAGATGGACATAGGTGGACTCAAGACGACTCAAGAAACACGATGGTGCAGGAGATGTCGAAAACAGAATAACGATCAGTGACGAAACGTCGATTAAAGATTTTTACTAAAAGAGGAAAGCTTGAAGAGGGAGAGAATGAGGCTTCTAAAAGAGGAAACTTTCCAAATTTAGGTATATATATTCCATAAAAATGAAAAATGGTAAAATTATGTCATACGTCCTCTATTTTTTGATACTTTCTGAATTTGGATCTGAATTTAATCAAAATTTCACTTTGGTCCCTAAATTTAGTTAAAATTTCAATGTAGTTCTCGAAAAGTTTTTAAAAAAATTTAGGCCCTAAGTTGGGGGTGACAGTATTATTTCAATGATATTTTTAGAAAAGAAAATTTGAATGTAGTTAAACATAGTTATCTTTTATTTAAGGGTTTTGTTAACCCGTAAAAATGGTATATTCCATGCCTTTTTATTTGGATTATTGTTTGATTTCAATTCATTTAGTTGCATAATTTATACAAGTGGTGGAATTAGTTTGTTCGTCTTTATTTTTTTTTTTTAATAAAATGGTGTTACGATGAGAGAATGATAGTGTTTGGTAGTGATTTGTGAAGGTTAGAACAAAATAGAAGAATTGATGAAATGTTGTAATATTTTGAATAACATTTCTAAGCGCAAAAAATATAAAATTAAGATATTTTATAGTTGTACAGATTACCCCCAGCCATTTGTGACCTACACGTGAAGGGAATCTTTTCTCCAAGGCATACAATAATTAGGGCACAAAACCCTAGGAGCCTCCAATATAAAGCAAAAGACACCCACAAATTAAAGTAGAACTGGAATTTGTGAGATAAGAAAGAAATAGGGGCGACAACTATCTTCTTCCTATTCTTCATCTTGGATGAACCCCATTGTTAAATGCTCCAAGGAATATCATGCAGCTCTCGAGAGAAGCTTGCAAGGTGTGGATCAGCTCACAGCAGCTCATGAGTTTACTTATTCTTAGTTTATTCTTTAGTTGTTTTATTATTTCTTGAAATGTCACTTGAATATTTTGTCGTTGATGATTTCTGTCCAACTATGAACTGGTTTAGCTTGGCCTGGATTTACTATAGATGATTATGTTTATGTTTAATGAATGTCTTAGCATTTTATTGTTAATACTTGCTTTGTTCACTGGTTGCTTGTTTTGTTTAAGTGAGAATCTTCGAGAATTGACTATCACTTAGTTAGATGCTTAATATTCGAGAGAGTTAAGCATAGATCCATGTGAACAATGAGTTTGGGATGTTAAGTTTAACTCTAACTCTAACTCACATTAAAGATTAGGATAGGGTTTAATGACTAAAAGGAGTAGATTTTAAAGATAATAATGTATTAGGACACACACAAAAATGTATGATCTTAGTGTTTTTATTGTTGATTTCTTGCTAAAGATAGTGTAGAAACAACCTAGACTATTCTCTCGAACAGTGTATTGATGGTAAGATGCTAGACATTTGTTAAGGAAAACATAGGAAACGTATCCTTTTATCTCTTGTCTTCATTCAACACGTGTAAAGTCTCATTGTCTTAATTTGTAAATCTCCGTTCTCGACATCTTTTTACCGCAACATTTATTTACTTTGTTAATATCACTTCACATATGATATTTTTATTTATCTTTTGAGTACATTTACTTAAGTTCCTTCAATTCTTGTGGAAACAATCTCATTTACCATTATTATTACTTGAGTTGCAAATCACTTACACGCAACAGGTTATAAGACCAAGAGTAGTTTAGGAATTGTTTAAAAACGAATATGTGATGTAAGAGTATGTTAGATTACCATAAAGTGTTCGGATCAAACTGACACATTTTTTAGTTTAACTATAATTTTGAACATGAGATCTTGAGAATATAATGTCGCTAAATATTTGAGGGGAAATTTTTTACCCCATTCATACACGATTTAACAAAATTAGTCTTTACTTAGATTATTAAAATAAATGAACGAGGGGCACCCACAATTTCTAAAAATGATAATTTATTCATGTTTTTTTTAAATATTTACTAAAAATGTATAAAACCATTAAACAATAATTAAAAAATAATATTTTTAATTTTTTAAAAATTTAAAGAAAAAATATAGTATGATTGAGCCTAAATATTTCAACTATCTATTTACAAATATAATATAAATGTTGTAAATAGTTTCTATCCAAGCTCAACTCAGCCTAAGAGCTATACTCCAATAAGATATCGATTGTTCCAAGCTGGACCCTCCGCATACATTGTTTTTGTACAACTTAATTTTTCTTTGTATAGATATTTGTGTCCAAAGTACAGATATTGAGTGGATAACTAAATCCAGAGATAATGCCTTGGACAAATTTTTATTGTTCGATTTAGTTTAAATTTGAGTCAAATCAAATAATAAAAAATCTTCTAGCTTGGAGGGATAACTCAAGCCTAGTACAATTCTACTAGAAGCTGATTCATGATCAATAGTTGGTATCTTGGAGCAGAATTTGATGATTTAATAATCTACAGTTCAGCAAGAAAGATTGAGAGTTGCATTTTCCATGTATCCGCTGCTAGTCATGGGATTTTAGATACCCTGACCACACAAAGGATTCAAATCATAAATTCAGTTTCAGATTGAAAATCAAATGTGTGCATGCTGCTAGCTCTTTCATCTCTTAACGCACGCGACGAGCCTTTTCTTCCTGTCCCAACCCGAGTGATTTCTGTGCATTTGCAATACCTTCAGGATCTGCAACAACACAAACCACAGGGTTATAATTATTTGTTAACTAAGAGTGCATAACTTCAAAGAAATTGATGACCATCGACTGCCGGAGCGCTTTCTAGGGCCATTGCCTAGATAATCAGAACCAGTTACTACAAGTTTTCATTTTGTTAAAGTATTTGTATCTATCTTATATATAGGGATGACTTCAAATCCTCCAATTACAAGGAGAAAACGTATTAGAAAATGAGCATACTCAGTGTCAGACATGACAAATCCAACTCACTTGAATTCTAGCACAATAATTAAAATTTTCTAATGTCCAGGGTGCAACTAAACTGTGTCGTAAGTACCAATCAAAAACATTAGACTCAGACATGGAAGAGACATTTGTGATTAAAAGAGTAGGAATCATGCTTCTAAACCAATACGAGTATATGACCTAAAATCTATGTTACCTTGACTTCAGTGTTAGTGTCATACATGAGTATGTGTTCAATATGGATATATTCAATTTTTCATCCAAGTGTTTACATGTATTTGGGGGATCTTGGTGAGTCGTATATCCATACCCATGTCTATACGTGTTGGACACATTTACGAGTGTTAGACATGAGTACCGAAGAGAAGGATGGGAATCCAAGACAACCTTAATACAGAGCATAATTCATTGATATTAATGTTCAATATTTGAGCTACCAATTACTTATTTGCAAATAAAAAATCTCACCAAAAAACTGAGTGAATATGCGTTGAAGAAGCTCAAGTTGCGAGAAACATTGTATGCAATAGCAGGTGGAAGAGGCTTCACAACAGTGTCTATGCTAAAAAACTCGTTGCAGAAACTGCATGAGCATGAAAATGTTAGAATACTCATCTAAGAAGAGAATGAACAATACTCAATAGGGACATATAGAACATAAAAAAACAACAACGGCATTTCGACTTATCAGCTACTAAAATGGAAGTTTGGATATGCAGCAAACAGTTATTTGTTTCAACAACAGTGTCAGACTGTAATTAAGAAAATAGCACAGTTTTATTAACTAGTTCAGTGATATTAATGTTTACCAAGCACAATCATTCTTTTAAGTTTTAAAATCAAAATTTCTCCAAAAGTTGATAATTGAAGTAAACTTCTATGATAATCTCCTTTGCTTATACCAAGGTCCATTAAACAGCACACTTTTGAAGATGACTTCATGCAAAAATGATACGCCATAAGGCCCTAGGAAACCTTTTATTATAATTACCTACTTTAGGAATCTTTTTCTTCCTTTTTGATGATTTTATTTTCAGTTGCTTTAAGCAACAATCAAGAGATCAAGGGGGGAAACAAACAGCAAATGTCTTCTTTGGGTTCACGAAAATCTGCAAAATTGTTCAACTTAATGCATCCAAGTAGAAAATGAATAAAATTTTAGAATGCTGAACTCTGAAAACAAACAAACAAATGCATGAAGAGATTGATGTATTGAGCTGCAACATAATCATGAACAAAACATCAGAAAACATGGTATTGAAGAACCCTAACAGGTGCTCAACTCGGATTGAAAATGATGAATCAAGTCCAAGTAATTTGACTAGCAAAGGACTATCCTCAAAATGAGACTAAATTTTAGGTTAATGCAATAAAAAACATCGAATAGTATGACAAAAATGTCATGTTTGTAATTGATATTAAATATGAGCAGCAAACAGAAACTAGGAATTTAAAATATATATTCAGGGCTATACCAGCTCTATGCATAGCACCCATGAGAAGAAATGCAAATGAAAAGTGTATGAATGGTTGAATACCCTCTTCAGTTGAAATACAACAAGATTTACCATATTGAGATCAAGACTGCAGATTGTGATCAAATATATAGTCTGCTGATTACCTATAAACAAAGTTGCTCTGATTCTTCTTTCTTGAGTACTCATGTCCAACACAAATCCAAAACTGAATATGAAGATATGACCCTCCAAGGGCCTTCTAAGTACAAAGAAAACTTGGGAAAATTGAACATGGTACATCTAAGTCAAAGTAACAAAGACTACAACACACTCTCCAAAAACAAAAAGTATATTTTTAAAGTAGAATGGTAATGTTAAGCAACGCACTTTTCAGAAAGGACAAAAACTGAGGGGCAAAGGACCAAAACTGGGGAACACAACTTCTCCTCAACAAGTTTGATGTATAATGTGATTTTATCATAATTCATATCGTGGTTATAGAGAAGGTATGTCTTTTATGACTCTTTCACTAAAACAGTGGTGTCAGAGAAGTTCTCCAGTAATCATTTAGGAATGTATTATTCCTCAACCTTGCATCAGTCAAATTTTAGCAGTTACGAAATTGAACATAAGATTACCTTGGATTCTAAAATCTTAACTTGGGAATACCTTATTGTTTGAATATAAAATAATTAGTATATATGATTCTGAAATAGCAAACCAGTCAATAAGAGCCATAATTAGACTACCGGGAGAAATTATATAAACCAATTGTGAAAACCTGACCCAATATGCGTAACAATGATTTCTCAAACTGGGTTTCCTTTAGAATCAAAATAATAACAAACACAGAATGAAGCGAACGAGAAAATGACCTGGAAGTTGCGCTGGAAGCTGTAACGGAGTTCAGGGTCAATCTCGAGGGTGTCGTCGTCGTCGTCAATTCGGGAAGAGGCGGACTTGCGGCGAGGGACGTGCATTTTGGCGGTGGAGCCCGGCTGTTTGGTAACCTTGAACTTGGCATCGGCGAACTTGTCTTGTTCGTCATCGACCCTCCACGGCGCTTTCTTAGCAGCTCTTTCTTTGGATTTCCCATCAATGGCTGCTGCACAATTTCACTGCTTTATTTCCTTCCTTATTCCAGGTTTAAAGGCAACATAAGATAAGACCTTCTGTTTGGTTGCAAGAGGAACGCTTTAAAAATTGAAACCTGTTTAAGAAGTAAAAGTACCATGGAAGCTCCTGTACTATATGTCAGATTATATTTTGGTAGCTCTACTTAAAAAATTCTAAACATACCCCTTGTACGTTACAAATAAAGCTACCGAAATATAATCTGATATATAGTACAGGGGCTTCCATGGTTATGTTTTTACCCTTATGGATAAATACATTTGAATGGATAATTTTAAATCAACAAGTAAAAATTAGAAAAATTCATTTTTTTTTCATTTTCTAATTACTTTTAAAAGCATATTTATGATTTTATCCTTATGTTACATGGACTCCATTCATTTGCAAGAAAAAATTCTAAACTTTTTATCCTTATGTCACATTTTGTTTCTATAATTTATATATTTGAATTATAAATATATATTAATTTTATATATTATAATATTAATAAATTTAATATGATTTAAATTAATCAATATGGTTGATGAGAATAAGATTGTTTTCGATATTAAAATTTTAGATGTTGATCAGTTATTTCTCATTGTTAAGTATGGAGCAACTTGGTGGTTTAAAGCAAAGGGTAATGTTAATCTTGTCTCTGTGGATAGTTTGATTGCTGATCCTCCGAGTGCAGATTTCAGATTGGTTAAATCCAAGGCGGGTTACCTGCTGATTGCTTGGAAGTCGCCTCACCGGATCCCATCCTTCTGTCGATGGAGCTTGCTTAAGAAACAATGGCACATGTGGTATTAACGGTTTACTCGGGAACAATAGTGGAGAAATCCTAATGGATTTCTCATGTCGTGCTGGTTTTGGGTCAACTTTGTTGGTTGAAATTCTGGCGATCCGTTAGGCTATTGATCTCTTCTTGGCGTTCGCTTGACATCTTTTTATCCGTTGATTATCGAATGCGACTGTCAAGTGGATCGCGGATCCTTCTAAGGCGACCCCTATTTCTCTTCTTTGGTTAACAGTTGGCAATGATGTTGATAAAGATCGTTGAGTGATCATACATATTTTTGGTGTTCAAAATATTACTGCTGACCTTTGATTAAAGAGTAACAGTAGAGTTAAGGATTCGGTCTGCATCTTTGATGATTATGATCCTGATTGAGGTATTCTTGAGTGTGATCGATCTGTTTTGTTTTAAAGTTTCTTCGTGAGGTTCAATGGCGTTACTTGTGGCTATCACAGTACCTTTGCTTTTATTTGTGGTAGTTGTCATGACTGATTTTTGTATGAAATTTGATGTAATTGGACATTAAGTTTAATAACATTTGGACACTCTTCTAATATTTTTTCTAATTAATCATAGTATCCGATCTATTGATCTACTAATCCATATCGGGTATTATATAGACGAGGGCGATCCTTCCAATCCAGTTTGTTTCATTCGCAAACGCTAGGATTCGAACCTCTGACTTTGCTTAAGGGACCTAGTGAATCATCCCACTAAACCACTGATTGTTAGTTTCGTTCTAATATTTGATATCGTAACTTACACTTTAGTTGAGAAGGGACTTTAACAAGGCATACCTTTCAAAAAAATATTATTAAAATTTTAATATAAATTATAAAATGGTCATTTACTTATTTAAAATCTCTTTTTAACATTAATTTCAAATACTCAAAGTTTTAAACTAAACAAACAAAAATACTTTTCAAAATCACTTCTAAAATAATTTTTTACTGTACTTTTCAAAAATAATACCAAACTAAATGGTATGTGAAAACTTAGTAAAAATTACCCATCATTTGTTTATTGGATTCTAAATAATAACATAATGCATAAATTTTTAATTACATGAATCAAGTGACCTCATGATAAAGGATTGTTATTTCTTGAGATATCAAGTTTGAGTACTAAAGATGTCAGAAAATTAACGTTCATTGTCAAATGGTTGAGAATTAAATTAAATAAATTAAGGGTAATTGAAGTCTATAATTACTAGACTATTATTATTACAATTTTAAAGTTTTTTCATGTGATTACTTCTTTTAATATATTTAAAGAAATCTTGACGGATATATTCCATACCTATATCGGATAGTTGCCATGTTTACATGTTATAAATCACATACAATGAGGGATGTTTACCAAGTTCCCAGAAAACAACAGTTTCATTGCTAATACTTGTACTGTGTTTGGGAATGTTTTTAACAGACAGATCAAAATAGATTAGAACTTAAATGTCAAAACCTATACAGTGGCTGCTGAGGAATATGTATTGAACAAATATGACAGTATTTCTTGTAATCTCCGAGTTGAGTATTCGTATTCGGATCGATATACGGAACCTGCAAAGCACGATCAAACCTGTTGTTAGTAATTCAAACCTCGTTGCATTGCTTTAACTCTTTATTTTTGTTGAAGTATTTGTATCCGTCACTCGTGTTCAACCCATATGATCCATAGATCCTTCAAAAACATGGGAAAAGTTCTAAAATGTCCTACATTTACACCCAAATCCGAGTAACATATGATTCAAGCGCTCCAATGGTCTTATATTCCTTAATAGCAGAGTTTCTGCTCAAATTCGGGGATAGGGCAACAAAGGTCTAGTCTAGGGTATATAACTCGAACTCGATTTTAAGTGCCGGACATTTACCACTGTCCGACATGAATATATATGTTCAATTTGGTGGTCCTTGAAGGATCAAAATCTCATATCCATATCCAGATATGCATCAGACACGGTGACGGAGCTATGTGGAAAGTGGGTGAGACTATGCCCTCCCATCTTTTTAAGGTTTAATGGCAGGATTACAATTAATCTGTCAAAGAGTGGGATCTTTGGAATCAATGTTGATCCTGACCTAATTAAGGTTTGGCCTCTTCTACTGGATGCTCGGTGGGTACGTTTCCATCAGAATACTTGGGTCCCTCTAGGGGCTAAGAGGAATTCTATGGCTTTGTGGAACCGGTAATCCAAAGATTCCTTAAGAAGCTGGTGGTTGGAAGGCATCATCATTATCTATAGTTGGAAGGGCTGTGATGATCAAATCAGTGTTATGCTCACTGCCATTTATTTTTTATCCATCTTTTTAGACTGCCTGCTAGTGTTTTAAAGAAATTGAACTCTATAACGGCGGTATTATTTTTTTTTTGGTGGGGGGGAGGTTAACAAGAGAAAAGGAATATTCATTGGATAAAGTGGCCTATGGTTTGTAGTCCGAAACATTTGGGGGATTAAGAATCTCCAATCTGGATTTGTTGAATAAAGCGCTGTTGGGAAAATGGATCTAGAAATTTGTGATTGAAAAGACTCGTGGTGGAAAAAGGTAGTGTTTGTGAATAACCTGGATCTGAATTCTATTGCGGTGTATCCTTGGCCTCCTATCGAGCCTCGTGGATATGGGAGGTTGTGGTTAAGAATTTCAATTCAAGAGATGATTTTGGTGTTTGTCTTAGAAACAACTAGTAGTTAAAAGTTGGTAATGGGAAAATATCCTTTTTTGGCATGATACTTGCTGGCTCCTGTTCCATTGAGAGATCGTTTTCCGAGGCTATTTATTCTGTCAACTAATAAGGGGTAGAGTTGCTGACTTCAATCATTCAACTCTTCAGGTTGTGTTTGGGACCTTCAAATGAGAAGGAATCTTGCGGACTGGGACCTAGAACAATGGTTACATCTAAATTCGATGTTAGGCAATTTCAGTTCTACGCATCTATGGAAGATT